TCATTGGTTTTTCCTCCTTTTTTTTAATGAAAAAGATGTGACTGATAAGAAATGACTGCAACTTGTTTTGAAAATGTGGCAGTGAAAGGTTACCAACAGGGATATTCTGTTTGCCGAAGGTTGTATCGTTTTTGGCGACTTTTATCGCATGCTCTAGCGAAATGGAAAATTACCAAATTCTTTAATTATAAAAAAAAAAAAAAAAAAGTTTCAAAGACTAGCTGAGTGTGTATGCTTCCACATGTGTTCCTTTGATTTGTTTGGAGAACTGATTTTCAAATTTAATGAAGTTATTAAAGATAGTGCAATTAAGGAAGATGTTCCATTTATTAAAGACTAGTATTTTAAACGTAGTCAGAAAAAGTACTGGTACAGAAAGAAAAAGCTAGTGTAAATGTCTTCTAATGAAAGCAAAGTATACAAAGTCACAACAGCAGCAGTTTAGATTTTGAGAGCAGTCTGAAATAGGTTCTTTTAATCTCATTTACTGGCAAATATTACTAATTATTACTGAAATTTGTCAGTCTGATTAATTTAGCAGAATAGTCTGAAACATCAAACAAAAATGTCATGCAGTATGAAGTGCATTTAATTCCATATTTAACAATTTTATTATCAGCGAAATTTGGTCAGCGAAATAAAATGCTTTATGATACTGATTATTGTAATTTATAAGATACATTCATTATTTATTACATCAAACAAATTACATTACACACAAACACCTTAAAGGCAAAAATACTGCAAACAAATTACATTGCAAATACGACATTATTATTTTCTAACAAATAGGAAACTGCAAACAAATTACATTATAAATACATTATTATATTTAAAAAAATTTTTTAATAAACATGAAGAGTATGATTATGGTATGGTATTTAGAGTTAGAGTTTTTGACTTTTTATATGTGCAGCGATTTGTGTTATGCTTGCTTTTATAGTTGCAGTATTGAAATCCTCGATCACATAAATTATAGTCTTATGAGCACATTATATGACTTATTTAACTATCTGGAACTTTATTGACGGAAATAGAAGCTTTCGTGCAAACAGTAAAATCATTCCTTGTGTAGAGTTGTTTATAAGTTTTCATATTCCTCAGAAGTTATAATTAATAGCTATAAAATTCCATCTATCATCTAAGCTATCTGGCTTATTCATATCTACTTACAGCATTCTTATCTGAACAGTTTTTTTCTATACTCGCAGTTGGAAATTTTAACTTCAAAAGCCATAAAATATTTTTGGCTGGTTTATTTAGTGACTATTTAGCAGAGCTTCAAGCTTTTGGAATATTTTCTGAGACTTCATTATATACAAAAGAAGAGCTTTCCTTGCTCCCCCTCCCCACCAACTTTCCATTTCAACATCAATTTAGCTTTTTGCTTTTCTCTTTCTATTATCTGTCTTTTCTGTTTTAGAATTATGGTGTTCCTTTTCTGTGTGTTTTTTTATTTGACCTGCAGCAGTTATTACTTACCAGTTTTTCACTAAAACCGCCCAGTTCTACTTGCATATTAATTGCACCTACATCCTTATCATTGATTGAGATTACTATGCAAAGGTGGCCATCATTATTAAAATGGTTTTCTAATACAGCAAGTTCTTCTCTTGTGATTCCTGATAAAATATCAACTGTTAAGTAGGTTCTTAATATAACTTAAACCTTACAGCCAAATGTAGCCTCATATGGGCTATAATCTCTTCCAAAGTGATGTGCTGTATTTTTCACAAATTGAAAAAATTTTGTTCCTCCTGACTGTTGTATTGTTTGTTCAAGTGGTTAACAGCTTTTCAATATCTTGCATTGCCCTTTTTCAACTGAGACTTGAGATTAACTATATTTCAACTGAGCCTTGAGATTAACTATATCTTGGCTTTCCATGAATGATTGAGTTCATTCCAGAAACTTCTTCAATTTTGTTAGCAAATTCTCAACTAATATCACTGTGATTTGGTTTATTTAATTACGGCAAAGCACTGCAGGGCTATCTGCCTAAGGGAAGGACTTTCTAAGGGAAACTGGCTCATATACACATTACACATGAAGAAAAACATGAAAACGCACATGCAGCCAGGTTCGAACCTCAGGTCAAACTACCAACATTCAGAGATTTTACCTGTCAGCTACTGGCAGGCCCCAGTATCACTATGAAAGATGCATATTGCTCTAAATATTGTGAAGACATCCAATATATGATAAACAATATCCTGGGCTTGTTCTGTTTTTAGCACTCTTACTTGAATAAATTTCATTAAATAGTCTTGATAAATCTTTACAAACTTTCTCTGTTTGTGAATGCATGTCAGTGAGATCAGATTGATATCAAATTTAATTCACTTATTTCAATTGGATTAACAAGTTATTTTATGTTTTTTTTTAACAAGATTCACAAAGATTTAAATATATCATTGCAGTTTCAACTGTAATGCTCTCATACTTTGTCTTAACCTCTTTCATCATTGTGTTCTGCCCTCCATGGCCAGTTGCAATATGAATCTCATGAGTTATTTAAAAATTCTTCTTCATAAATGTATAAATAATCTGGTCTTTTATCATTTTTAAATGGAATTACAGAATGAGTTTTTCACATTACCAGTTCTTGTAATATTGTATCTTGATATCCTCTAGTGTTTTGCCACCTCACCAGTGGTTAAGTTGCAGAATGCTGTAGTTTTTCCTGACAAAGTAACTGACTGCATGATGGTTTTTGCCACGTGTGACACGAAAACAAGCCAGTTTTTCTCAGAAAGTTCTCTGCAAATGCTTCCCTCCCCTTAAGCTTCTCTCATCTTAGGCTTCTCTCCCTTTGTGTGCTTTGCCATATTCAGGCAACTTAACATCTGGGGATTTGCCAAAAGGCTTCTCTTTGCTTTCCTTAACTTTTGAAGGGGGAAAAAAAATGAAATGTACTCTTCTATTGTAAATACTAACTGATAATTTCCCCCTTTTTTTGTCCTAATGATGTGACAAAAATTATAGGCTTTGTGATTAAAGTATGACTATCTCCATCTAAAAGAGTCATCTCCATCTAAAAGAGTCAATTAACCAATTTTGTTTATCATACACTTGCATATTATTGAGATGCTAACATGGGAAAAACACATGCAAATTTCAAATTGAATATTTTGAAAATTATTAAATTTGTCATGCATTGTAGGAAAATAATAATAACAGCTGCTTCATGGATTGATTATAATTAATAATAATCAATTAATTACATTGACCATAACATATACATTTTACTTTTTAGCTATGAAATATTATGGTGCTTTCTGACTATCCACCCCTGCTGGTAACTAATTTTTTGCGAAGCTAAAATGTATAAGGCAACAGCCAATTTGGAAATATTGGTGCACTAAGAATTTTATAAAAAAAGTAATGAATCATTAAAATTAAAAAAAGCAAGAAATATTCATAATAAAACACTTATCTTTATACAGGGTGTTTATAAAGTCCCGGACCCATTTTGATGTTTAATAACTCATAAAATAATGAAGATATAAACAAACTTATGGGCATTTATATATAAACAAACTTATGGCATTGATGAAATAACTTGTATATTTTCATCTTTCTGGCATTGTTAATCGCCATAATATGCACATATGGGGATCTGAAAACCCCCATGAATACTGTGAAGGCATAAAGGGATTCCCCAAAGGTTAATGTGTGGCGTGGACTAATGCATGACTGAATCATTGGTCCTTTCTTTTTTACAGAAAAGACGGTCTCATCAGTCGTATACTTAGACATGTTGGAAAACTTCGTATTTCCACAACTAGAAGAGCTTCAGCCACATGTCTTTTTGCAACAAGATAGTGCACCACCTCATTGGGGTACCATCATTCATAGTTCTTTGAATGACCATTTTACAGGAAGATGGATTGGGCGAGGAGGTCCAATTCCTTGGCCACCCAGATCACCTGATATAACACCGTTGGACTTTTTCCTTTGGGGATTTGTAAAGGACAACGTTTGCAGGAGAAGAGTGTCAAACATTGATGACCTAAAAGCCAGAATTACAACTGCAATAGCCTTTGTGTATGCCGACATGCTTGCCGGTACCAGGCGTGAAATTAAATATCGACTTGATATTCTCCGTGCGATGAAGGGGGCACACGGGGAAGTTCATTGACAAGGGTCATGAAGCTTTTTGCATCTATCTAACCATTTATGTTATTAATTTTAATTTATCTTTATTATTATGAGTTATTAAACATCAAAATGGGTCCGGGACTTTATAAACACCCTGTACATTTTTTAAGAAATATTTATATGTATATTTGCTGTTATTCGTCCCATGCACACAGTAATCTGTTTTTGTTTGAAATGTCATCAGAGAATAGTACAGATTTGGGATTGAGCACCAAACTCTCACTGCACACACACCATTGTTCTAGCTATATACTCAGCAGTCTGTTTTTGTTTAAAATACATCAAAGAATTGCACCAATTCAATATTATGCTCAGACTTCGCATTGCTCATGCTGTCGTTCTCCCCATATAAATAGTAATCAGCTTTTGCTTGAGATCAGAGATTTACATATACTGCTCATGGCCTTATCACAATCATCCAAGAAGAGTTGATGTAATGCCATATTTCTGAAGAAATGCAATGCTTTCTTTTTCATAAGCCATCTAACCTTAGTGTCCCATTGTGATTAATTACAACAACAATAAAAAAGTATTCAATGCAAAAAACAAGCACTATTCACCTGTCGAATTTAGATGGTGGAAATGCATTTATACTGTAACATATGTTTGCTGCACACATGTCTAGGCTGTCACAAAAATACAGTTTTGCAACATCATGGGTTGCTGCATAACTATTTTAATAACCCAGTGCATTACTTCCAGAATAATTTTCAATGGGAGGATAGTTGGATTACCTTATTTATTGTTGTTATATTGTAAATGAATCTGTTATGCATTTTTTGTTGAATATTGTTGATTATTTGCAGTAAAATGTAATAAGTTATATTTCTATTTCACAGAATCCTCTACAAGAAGTGAAATTTAATACATCTTATAAATGTATTCCACCATTAGTAGAAACTGATAATAAAGATAATTGGTTTCATGAAGTGGAAGGCTGTGGAATTCAGTGCCAAAATCCATTTTTCACTGAGGAAGAGCATGATAACAATCATTTTCTAATCAAAATTTTTGCTGGAGCATGTTTTGCTATGGGACTTTTTGCTGTGGTAAGTGTGCACGTGACTTTATGAGTCTAATATAGTCAAAAGTCTTTAATCCGGACTCGTTGGGAGTTCACCGATTACGGATTATCGGTTTTTCCAGATTATAGATTATCAGTTTAAATCTGATAAGATGGCATGCAGAAATTATAAAATTAAAAATATGAAACCGTAATTTATGAAATAAAGAGCAATTATGATCTAATGGGTATCAAAATTTACAAAAGAAAAGCTTAATATTTATTTGTTTACTTTATTAAACATTTCTTTCAACGCGCGCATGTGTAAAGCATACATTACACATTGTCGAAATTAGAAAATTGCAACCAGAAAACTACTTGATGTGTATTCTAGATATTTATAATGACGAGGAATTTAATTTAAATCGTGTCAAAGAAGGAGTACATCGAGATGAAATACTACATTTAGTAAGGAATTATAAGTCGAATAAAATAAAACCATCTGCCCTGAAGATAAGGATAGCGCTGACAGATCAACTTCCAGTTCATTGCACGCCGCGACATCCCCCCCCTCGCAGAGCAGTGTGAAATTGATAAACAGATTTCGGAATGATTAGAGAAGCAAAGGATATGCCTTTATCTATTTTTTGCAGCAATTCCACTTTTTGTTTGATGGACTTCGAAACATGCTTTCGCTTTGTAGATCCTTTGGCAGCTCCAGAATCGGAAATTCTTTTTGACATAATCGAAAGTTCAAGCTTACTTTTATAAAATTGCTCTAACAGTCTGCCAAAAATAATATGCCGGATGCAATTAGAAGATTAAGGAACAACGCAATCTGCAACTGAAATAGATAATTAGATAATTTTATCTTAGCTTATACCATCCGTTATGCATTAAACGCGCATGCGTAAACACATTATGTGTTAACGCATGCGCAGAAAGTTTATAGCTTTGAGGTCCGGATTAAAGACTTTTGACTGTATATTATACTGTCAAATTTTGTTAAAAAAAATATAGTGAAAAATATTTTAATTTTCTTCTCAAATTTATATATCTGCCTCCTAAAATAAGAAAAAAAAAAAAGTGAATACATTCTTAAGGCTGGAATTTATGTGTGTGTGTTTGTATATATATATATATATATATAAACATCTCTCTTTTTATATGTAAAGTTAAAAAATTATGTAAATCAAGAATGAGTTCTTTGGTACTCTAATTTGGCTTTGGTGTCTCAAGTTTTCTTAAAATCCAGTCACTTAACGGAACTAAAATTTTGGCCTGCAAATTTTTTACATATACTGCCAGAATGAATTTTTACATATACTTACATACTTAATCTGCCAGTTTGGCATCATCATTCTTACTTAAGTAAAAGACGAAACACCTTTGCATTAATTAATTATTGTTCATTGAACAGGAGTTCGTTTGTTCTCCTTGAAAAGTCAACTAATTTCCTATCAGTGATGATAATTACTTGACTTGGTTTATTAATTTTCTTTTTCAAAGTTCGAATTTTTGTTATTCATGATTTAAATTCAAAATCTTTTTCATGATTTAAATTCAAGTCCCCTTATAAGCTTTTCTTTCATGATTTACATTCAAGTTCCTTTAAAAAACAATTTTTGGAATTAAATTTCGTACTTCTGGGTTCCCTCATTTTGATACATTCTACTTAATTTATATTAGGAGATAATATAATCAATATTTCTTTAGTAAATAAATTAAAACTATAACTTATATATAAAAGCCCTGCAATTCTTCATTTTAATTTGTTTTCTCCTCTTTTTGTTCTGAAAGTAGAAATTGTTTATAATAACTTTCTGGACTGTGTCTTTTCAGGATGAATCCATTTCATGCATACTTATGTACTCATGTATTACAAATAGCTCTTATTCAATCAGACAATCCGATTAAAGAAACTTTTGACTTATTTTTCTGAATATGCAGTTACTTTCTCTCTTTTTTTGCTCTGCCTCTGCTCTTGTTTGATATGCATTGCTAGCCTCTTCTATCAATTGTCTGTTGTCTGAAAATGTAAGCTATACAAAATTATGAGGTGCATATTGAACCTATAATCATGTGTGATGAAAATATGTATCAAGAAGTAAGTGTCTTGTCTTCAGCCATGTCTATTTGTTTGTGAATGTCATCTTAAGTACCTATGGCCACATCTGTCTACATCTCTCTTTATTATGCATCATTCAAATTTACAGCTATTGCTCAATCATCAAGATATTTACATAACTTACTACCTATATATATGTAGAGAGAGAACAAGAAAGAGATATATTCCTTATTTCTTCAGTTTCTTAATTTCAGGGAAAAAAGAACAAAAAAATTAATAAAAACACATATTAATTGTTATAATGTTAAATATTTTCATGATCAATTTTGATTTATTAATAACACAGGGTTGCCACACTACCTGGAAAAGGTATGTAAGTCAGGAAATTCGAAAATTGACCAAAAAATTCAAGGAAAAGTCAGGGAATTTAAATATTTTAGTCAAAATCTAGAAAAGTCAGGGAATTTCATACGGCGATCCCCCCCCAAAATAGGCGAGTTTCACGCCGACGTTGGAAATAATCACTTTATTGTATCGTGTGAGCGTCGTTCGGGCAGCTGGCAAAGAGCTAATTTTCGCAGCTCCAGATTGTCTTTTAGAAAGGCAAAACAAGTTTTCAGTAAGCTCGAGAATCGCATGCGCATGTGCAGTGCATGTTGAACTAAACAAAATACTTATTCTCGTATAAAACAAAATCGGGTTAATACTAATATGCGGTACTATGGGAGTTAAAATCAAAGAATATGTATTGTTAAAAAGTAAGATTTCTCTGCAACAGGAGTGGCTTCGTTCCAGCATAGAGGGAAACAGCTGCGTATGCGTGAAATATCTGTCGCCAAAGCTCGAAGCCGGTGTCGAAGGTCACTTTATCAAGAGTTCATAAAATGAATATCGTTTAAATTTTTTTCAAACAAAAGAAAATGTTTTTAGCGCTAGTAAATTAATTAATGGATTAGTTATTTTGAGAAAAAAACTATGAAAATCCGTGTTTAAATAATTGCGAAATATCAAAGAAGAAACGTTTAGTCAAAGAATGTTTCTATTTAACACGTGGCTCACCAGCGGCCGAGCGGTAAAGTCACTGAACACTGGTAGTTCGGTCCGAGTTTCGAATCCTGCTAACGGGCTGACTGCATGGGCATTTTCGTGGTTTTCCCCATGTGTAACGTGTATACGAACCAGTTTCCCTAAGAAAGTCCTCCATGAAGGCATCCCTTCCCTTAGGCAGATAGCCCTAGTATGCTTTGCTATTATTAAATGAACCAATCTTAACATGTGTTCCTCAATTTCCTGTACACATCGCAAAGGGGGAAATTCTGGCTGCCAGGTTCCGTCTCCAAATCTCTAGGCAAATTTTTCCTCCGCTTTCTAGCGGCGTATAATAAATAGCATTACATCTATGGAACCTTTTCCTTCTTTACACAGATGTTCTTTGGTTAGGTTTTTTGTTTCCATGTATTCTGTTTTAACTTCCATGTATGGTACCCACTGGATTTGGCGACATTTTGATGAGCAGTAAACGTGTTATTTTGGTGTTGGCAACAATTTTCAAAATCGTTCCAAGGCCTTACTGTATATTAAGATTTTACCACAAAATCTTGTAAACCTTTTTTTTTTCTTTCTTTTTAATAATTGCCTTATTTGTCATTTTGCAATAAAATAAAAAATACTAATCTAGGCTAACTATTAAATATAAGTAACTATATTCGCTAAAATATCATTGATTATTCTAATTCAATTTTTAATTATCTTTATTTTTATGTTATTCATGTCATTTAATGTTGCTTCTTCCCTCTAAATTTGTTTATTATTAGTAAACAATACTTTCAGATTTCAGGAAATTTTCTCTGGCATAATCTTGAAATTAATTCTAGCAGTAGTAGCATACCATCATGAAATTTAATGCACATATTTTTTGCTTATGTATGCTGCTAAATAAATGTAAAATATCTGAATTTATTTAAAAATATCATTAAATATGTTTCTTTCGTTTAGCTGCAAAAATGTCTGCAAAAAATGATTTTTTAAAATCCAGATTGGGCAGATTCTAATCTCAATCTTCAGTGGAGAAAACAATTCCTTTTATAGTTAAAATAGTAATCCTTTGAGGATTAATTATATATATAAGTCATATGTAATTGTCAAATTTTTGTGTTTTCAAGTAATACCATAATTAATTAACCTCTTAGCACAGCCAAAATGCATTACGCGGATAAACTGGAATTTTCTTAAAATATACCTGGAAAACCTGGAAAAGTCATTGAATTTCATTCTCCTGTTTGAGTGGCAACCCTGATAACAGTAATATTTCTGTTTTAAATTAACAATTTGGAAAAATTTATTACTTTGGACTACCCTGATATACTATATATATATATACACACACACACACATGTATATACACACGTATATATATATATGCTATGTACAGAGGGTGTTCACACATTTTTGTAACGATTTTGATTTTCTCCATGAATTTAAATATTAATTTTTATCCAAACAGTCTTCACTATATTAAGTGAAACTGCCATCTACATGTTAATGAAGCAAAAGTAAGCATGTGAAGATTAAGATTGTCACTGATGGCCATATTTAATTTTATTTCTTTGCTATTGGTATAGTAAAAGTTTTAGTGCTATTATTATTGGACAAAAGACCCGTTTCACTTTTTCATTAAGTAAGTACACTGCCCAAAAAAAAAAAAAAAAAAAAAAAAAAAAATGGGGGACAGCTCTATGTCTCCCGTTCTACTGAGCCTATTGACAAAATTTTCAGCTTGTGTTTTTCATGTCCTGAAAGCATGACTTAGGATATGTATTAGATTTATGTATAGCATTGTTCTAATATAGGTATTTTGACACAAAATCGGACTTTTTCTGAAATGGCATGCCAATTTTTTTTCCATATTTCAGTTCTGCAACTCAAATTCTGCCAAACTGCCAAGTTGTATAAAAATCACACAAGTAGTTCTTAAAAAATTAACTCTCAAAATTTTAGCTCCTTGATGTTAATTGAATTTGATATACATTTATTAATATCTCTGTTTTTTATTAAACTTACTTGATTCCTTCTTTCGCATTTTCAAATTTAAGTTCATTCCAAATAAAATTCATTTTTTATGATTTTATTTAAAATTTTATATTTTATATAATATATATAATAAATATTTTTATATAAAACATTTTATAATTTTTATAAATTTTTTGAAAAAATTTTGAATTATAATCTATGAAATTTTTACCATCATCTTGAAGTAGATGTATTTCTAAGCATATCTGCAAAAAATTAAGTTTTTTATTCAAAATTCCTTAGGATATACATGAATTTATATATGGCACATTTTGATATTTGGCATATTTGTTATAAGCGATAATAACATAAATGTGGTTTACACACTTTAATAATGTTATTTAAAAGCATGAACGATGACTTTTTATTGCACTATGAAAAAAGAGAAAGTAGGTTGCTATAAATTAAGAAGTTTGTCAAGCGAATTATTCTTGGCACAAACTGAAAAATATGCACCAAGATACATTTTCAATGCACCAAATTTTACAAAATTTAATAATTAAACTTAATTTGAGTCGTAGAAGCGAAATATAGAAAAAACAATCCCATGCCATTTCAGAAAAGTCCGATTTTGTGTCAAAATACCATTATTAGAACAATGCTGTATATAAATCTAATACATATCCTAAGTTGCACTTTTGAGACATGAAAAATGCAATTTAAATTTCATCAATCAGCCCAGTAGAATGGGATACATAGAACTGTCCCTTTTTTTTTTTTTTTTTTTTTTTTTTTTTTTTTTTTTGCAGTGTACATATATCATCTGCATTATATAAGAATCAAATGACAAAGATTAATTTTATGATGATTCTCTTCAGAAAGATTTATGGTTCTTTCTGATTGTTCACACCCCCACAAGAAAGTCACAAAAAGTATTCAAGTAGTAAATATGTATGCCAGCAATTTGGTTGTTGCCAAAAATGTTTATGCGGCAACTCAAATATACACATCATATATCTTTTCATCTCTGGCATTACAGACCAACTGGTGTGTATTGCCAGAGTTGTACAAATGCTGAAATGGTTCATTTCTTTTGTCATTATGTTGTTTAAAGTAAAAACAGCTTGCTGTATACATGAGGAGAACAATAAAAAAAAGTTTTTTAGTACCATTATTTTTGCCCTTTTTAAATTTTATTGATTGATTGCTCTTGTGTAGAATTCTTAGTGCATCATCATTTTTAAAATATCTGTTGATTTTGCACGTCATTAATTACTTTTGGTGTGGTATGGATAATCAGAAATTGTCAGATTTGTAATAAGCATTTGCTGTTTTAGGATAGAAAGAGATGATATCCAATTGTAAAAGAAGGTACTTTGGGCTAATACAAATTAGAATATTTTATATGTATTTCTTTTATAATCTGGAAAAAATTGAACCAAATAAAGAATGAAAATTCTTAATATGTCAAATATAAAAATAAATACTTCTTCATTTTTTTCTCTTAATAGTTAAAGTTCTGTCTTGGTAATTTATAGAAATTATACTTGACTAATCCAGGTATGTATTCTCTTTCTTCTTAAAGAATTCAAAATGAAGAGCAGTATTTTATCCTTAAAAATCCTCTGCTCTTAATATTCAGTGGAATGGGGAGTGAAGTGTATCTGGCTGCCTATGGGAGCTTCTTCATCATCCAAACTATGATTTTGTTTCTCCCTTTGTCTTTATTGGGTGTATTTGAGGAATACAAGCAGCAACAATTAATAATAATATATAAATAATGCAAAGAAAGTAATGTGTCTATATACATATTATTATATAATTTTCAAACTAATAGGGCAGGTGAACTAACATGTTAGATAATACAGATGGAGGACAAAATAATACGAACATCTGTGAAATAATGGAAAATTTTTATTAATAGGGAGTTGGACCACCCTTTGACTGAAGTACATATGGTATGCGACGTGGGAAAGATGCATAAAGGTCATGGACAATATTAAACAATATTTAATATTTAAAGGAATATTAAGCCATTTCTCCTGCAGAGTGGTTTCTAATTCCAAAAGTCCGGATGGAGGTGGAAATCGGCGATGAAGTTTGGACTCCAAATATGTCCATAGATGTTCAACAATATTCAAGTCCGGAGACTGAGGGGCCAAGCGAGATGTTCAATTGCATCGTCATGCTCTTCGAACCATTCTTGAATACACCTAGCAGTGTGGATAGGAGCGTTGTCGTCTTGAAAAAGCGGTCGCTCCCCAGGGAATACAGTCTGGACAAAAGGATGGACATGATCCCCTAGAATGTTTATATAGTGATTGGATGTGATCCACTCATGCAGAATAACAAGTGGTTCAAGATCGCGCCAAGATATCGCACCCCATACCATAATAGCGCCATGCTTCACAGTTGGCAAGAGGCAGTCAGGATGAAACGCTTCTTTGGGCGTTCTTCAGACATAAACGCGTCCGTTCGTCTGAAATAGGTTCATCTGACCATATTACCTGTTTCCACTGCTGTGAGGATCAGTCTTTGTGATCTCTGCACCATTGGCGTCGCTTAAAAGCATTAGTTGCTTTCACCAAGGGTTTATGAATTGCTTGTCTGCTATAAATGTTTACAGCATGAAGTTCCCTTTTGACGGTTTTTGCTGAAACGTGGCCCTAGAGATGACTGTTCATTTCTGATGTTATCTCGGATACCGATTGCTTGTGTTTTTGGGCTACTATGTGCTTCAAGATCCATATATCCCTATCAGTCAGCCTTGGCTACTGTTGTGCTTTGAAGATGTCGTGTTACCCTCTTTCGTGTACGCTGTCATAACGGCTGATACCCTACTCCTTCCACTCCTTTGGTGTTTTTGTAACCGGTGCTCCACTTAAATGCGCTCCAACTATCATTCCTCTTTGGAACTCTGACAGGTCTGACATTTCAACTTCTCACAGACAGTTCGATCGAAGCATGCAACACAGGTGACTGCTGTTGAGAGACTGATACCTTCCTCTTCACTCTCACTAAGTGGCAGACTTCTGTTGCAGGTGGCGCAACTGTACTGCAGGTGTGAAATATGTCATACTTTTTCACTGGTGTTCCCATTATTTTGTCCTCCATCTGTACATTAACAACATAGCAAAACTAATATGTATTGCAATTCAATTGTCAACTCTCATAGTGAAGAAAACCTTATTTATGATGAAATAAAAAACAAGGCAAAGGGAATCGTCATATTGTAGACCGAAAAATAATTGAAGATTTATCAATTAACTAGTGCTGCCCTTTTTTTAATATTAGACTCTGTTGTAGATTAATTTTCCTATTTCTGTCTGAAATTATGTTACTGGACCATTGTGCACTCATTAGATAACAAATATCTAGCATATAACCAGTTCTGTAAGCTGTCGCCATTTTATGTGGTATAAAGTTTATAATTTTTTATTCAAACTACAATAAAACATTACATAAAATAAACCGAGTGCTTTTTATAGAACTCAATTTATATATGGAGAGTGAATATATTTTTATATATAGAGAGAGTGAATATATTTTTATATATAGAGAGAGTGAATATATTTTTATATATAGAGAGAGTGAAGTATTTGTGATGTGGAGTATAAAACCAAAGAAATTATTTGAGCATATGGCAAACTACTGTTTATACATTTATAGCATTTGAAGTGTTAAAATTTTAATATACATTTCTGAATTTAATATCTAATATTGTTTATTATGGAATATGATACTTACTTTTATGTGTTTCAGGTGACATCTTTAATAAGATGGAAGGCAGCCAATCGATATCCAGGAGTAATAATATTTTACATTAATATATGTGTGATGGTTGCATCATTTGGATGGTTAATTCAGTTTTTTCCTGGAGCAAGAGAAAGAATAGTGTGCCGTCATGATGGGACAATGCATCTTCATCAACCTAGGTATTAAATATATTGTTTATATTAAATTAGAAGTCTCTGTTTGATGATGTACCTTTAAAAGAAAGTAGAGATTTGTGTATATTCTTATTGCCTGATATTACATACACTTGTCCACATTTATCATTTCATATCCCAAAAATAATGATATTCTATGAAATACCCAATCAAATAATCCATTCTTGCAGGGATGTATGAAAGTCTTGCTTAATTACCATTATCCAATCAAAAGTGACCAAATGTGTTCTGAAATGCAAATCAGGGCATTACATCATCTATCGATGAATCAAGCGCTTTGAGTCAAGTGAACATCTGAATGAATTTCTGCAATACAATGTTGCATTTAAGTGGGCTCTGAAGTATTATTTGGAAAAGTCTGTGACGTGGCAAATCATTGGCCAGTTAGAAGTAGGGCAGACAATCTTGGAAACAGTGAGGTATGTGAATATTTAAAGATACTCTTCATGCTATGGAAGCAACTTCAGAACTCTGAAACTGTTGTAAGAAGGCCTGGGCAAGGTCATAAACAAGGAACGACTACTTTTCAAGATTGATATCTGGCAATAATTGCTGATCCTAACAGGAAGTCTACTGCTTGGCAGTTAAGTTCAAAGCTTGCAGCGCTATCAATGCAGCTTTTGCTTCATGGTAAACTGTATACAGAAAGTGTAATGAAAAAGACCTTTATGCCAGGAAGCCAAAGGAATTTGTTTCCGTATTTTTACAGCAAATGAAGGATTGCTTTAATTAGTACAAAGAGCATCAGAACTGGAGTGAACACCAGTGGTCCCTTGTTCTCTTTACTGATAAGTTGAGGTTTAGTTTAACATCTCATTCTAAATGTATTTACATCTGGAGGGAGTCAGGAATGCGAAATCTTCCTTCGAACATCATGGAATGTTACCATTTTGGTACTGCAGGTGTGATAGTATGGGGAGGAATAATGATGGATGGATTTATGCCCCTGCACATTTTCAACAGTGGATTTCAGACTGGCCAGAGATATAAGGGTGAGATCTTAGAACCTTATGTAAGACTTTTCAGATATGCATATGGATCTGACTTTATTTGTGGATGATAATGCTTGTCCACATTGAGCAAACCTCATTAATGAATTTCTTGAAAGTGAAAACAGTAAACGAATACCATGGCCATTAGAATGTCTTCATGTTAACTGAGTAGAGAACTTGTTGGACTGCCTTGGAAAAGCAGCTGCATGAAAACATCATTCTCTTAGAGAATAAATGCCCTAAAGAATGCATTGCTGGAGGAATGGAATTAATTCCCCAAACTTTGGTAAACAGTGTTATTGTCAGCATGAAAACACATTTTGATACATGTGTGTAAATTAGGGGAGATCACTTTCCGTGCTAAATTCAAGATCCTTTTTTTTTTTTTTTTTTTTTTTTTTTTTTTGCTGGGTTATTCTCCCCCTCCCCAACTTCTTTTTATAACTTATTATTACCATTTTTATTGTTTCATACTACAATTTTATATCTTATACAGTGCTTTTAAATTTTTTCCTTCATATTTATATATTAATATCATTCCACTCAAACTTATACAATTATAATTCACAGTTCCTGAGAAGTCCGTATTTCATGCTTTCAGATTGTAAAGATAATATTGGTCATGAGTGTATTGTGGAGAGTGGTGCATATTTTATCTACCGAATTTAAATAATAGCAGAAATATGGCAAGTACTTTTTTACGAATTTTAAGTAATTGTGTGATAACTGTATATATACAGGGATTTAACACATTGGTATAATATGGATTGCATAGATACCAGCGAACTTTTAAGTGACCTCTAAATAGCTCCCTTCTTGCTTGGATGCATTCTTCAAAGTGATATGGAAAGACTTCCATGATTTATAATCAGCATCTTCTAAGGAATAGCAGGTACTTCACAGGTGGTTGCGCTCTTGAATTCATCAGTTATTCACAAAAAAATGGGTAAGGATTCTGTTTTTCAGACAATCCTAGAGAAAGAAGTCTAAAGCTGTCAAATTTGGGAAACTGGAAGGCTAAGTCAAGTTCTCAGAATTGAAGTTTACATAATTTGGAAATGTCTCACCCTGTGTAGGTATAGTTGTGCTTGCTGTTGCACTTACTGGAACCAAACTGTATTAGCCAACTCTGTTGCTTAGAATTCTGGTGATGGGCATTGTTCCACTGTATAAGTATCTGCAGCATCTTTGGCATTATATCTGTCATACTTTTTTATTATTCTGGTCCCAAAATGATCAATAAATTGGTAACACTAATGATAATCATGTATAGCATACTCCGTGATGAGAAGAGCTGTGAGTAAGCCATGTATTGTCTGTTTTCTTTTTTCATATACTTCATGGACTTCAGTACAGAAATAACTTGAAAAATATGATTTTTGAGTTGCGATTGTTCCCAACATTGAAAAATTATTTTTTGTGGCAGCAATACTGGAACATACTTTATTTTAGTATCATTGTAAAAAATGCCAGTAGTGTTTCTGTTGTATAATTTAGTTTCTCATGTACACTGGCTACAAAGCTGACACTTCTCAGTTTGTGCCAAATGGATTTGATGATGCAAAGGATCTCTCAGATCAGACATGTCAAAATTTTATTGTAAATACCAACAATGATACTGTATGCATTGTGATGTAAGCAACTTATGAGAGATGGAGGAATAATCAGACCAGTGGTCTTTTAAATATTTATTTGTAAAACTTAAACAAAGATTTCTTCATTAAATAAAAGTATAACATCAATACAGCTACAGAACAAACAGACATAACTTCCGCATGATGCGGATCAGACAGTCACTTGGTCTACCTATGTCATTTGACTTCTACTATGTCATTTATGTATGACTTCTACCTATGTCATTTTTCAAAGAAAAACTTCTTCCTTTCCTTTTACATTTTCATTGCAAGGGAACCGCACAAGGGAAGTGTCCTTTATGATTTTTTTTTTTTTTTTTTTTTGATTACTTTCTGGTCATTTAGCAGACACTCGGTGTTAGTTCCCATGAGAACAGGAAATCCTGTAATTTAAACCTGATGTTTCATAATAACTGAGAATTGTTACAGTATCAGTGACATTTCTTTACTGAAAGTTTAAAAAAAATACTTCTTCTGTAAGACATCGTTTAAGCATATATTTTAAAACTTTCATTATGAAAGCCTGCAGATGCAGAAAAAATAAACAGTCCTACTAGGAAGCGACCTTCAACTAAACTTGCAACAGATCTCTTGCTTCTCTATATCTAAGAAGAAATCAGATGATTTAAAGTTTAGTCACCGGTAATGCTGGACAACACTAAGCTTGTTATTTACCATTTTACAGTAATCTAAAATTTGAATCATAAAAGGTACTTGCATATTAATGCCACCACTTTGGTGCAAGTTAGCGATTTTTCAGAGGAAAAGGTAAGCATAACTTATTGGCTGCAAGTTGGCGATTTTCATCAAATTTTTAAAAAACATCCCAAACATTTCTACTGATATTTATTGTAAGTTGGTAAACATTATTAACATATCAAAAGAAAACACACATTTAAATATACAAAATACAAATTTTAATTATTAAACAAGGATGATTACTTAAATACTGTTTTCTTGCAAAACTTTTACCACAATTTCTTACATAGCTAGCAAATTCCACAATTGATACTTTAAAATTGAGTTGAAAGGAAAAAATATTTGTCCATAAAAAAACCTTTGGAACTTAGAATACAAGAAAAAAAATGCATACAAAAATGGTGACATTACTGAAGGACTGTTATGAGCATGGTTGCAAGAGTTTGGCATATTCTGAAAATTTGGCAACCTTTACTAAGGTGGTTGCAATATTATGTAAGTACATCATAAAAATAGGTTCTTGTGAAATTGCTCACTTCATATTGTAGTTTTATTAATGTAGCATTGAAACAATGAAAATGCCATTTTATAATAAATTTGCACTAAATGTCACAATGTGGTAACATTATTAAGAAAATTTAATTTTTTATCTCTAAGTTTTTACTTCTTTGTACGAAGTAAAAAGGAAGTATTGTAATCATGAAAAGTTTCAGGCATCATATTTCACCGCTATTGAATGCAATTTAACGATGTTTTTTCTTGACATCTGTACATAAGGACAGAATAAAGGACTCTCCCCCCAAAAAAATTTAAAACTAATTTAAAATGACTTCTAAAGAGAATTTTTCTGGTGTCTGTGCGTACACATGTATCTCGCATAACTCAAAAAAGAGTAGCCTCAGAACGTTGAAATTTTGTATATAGGGACTGCTATAACATGTAGATGTACACCTCATATTTTGGTTGCAGTTGGCCGCACCAAAAGTATATAAATATATGTATATACAGTGGCTCCCAAAAGTGTTCATACACTTGTGATTTTCATTGAAATAGGGCTCTATCCATTAATTAAAAGTAAACTTTCTCAATGAGATTTATTTTTAAGAAATTAATACAGTAGAAGTCCGATAATCCGGCACGTTCGGGACCGGCTCGGAGCCGGACTACCGAAAATTCTGGTCTATCGGGCGGTAATTATAAGAACAATTAGGTTAATAATTAAACTAAAAATACAGTATGCAAATACATACAGCAAAGTTTATTTTACATTTCATATAATGTAGGTACACATACTGTAAAACATATTTCACTTAGATTTAAAAAAGTCACGAATGTCTTTTTGTTTTCTTGACTTTTGGCATTTAGTATAAAATTTATTTCTAATGATATGGAAATCAATAATTTCTGAAGCACTGTAGGTACTAGTACTAGCTCGGCAAAAGAGATAAACTTATTTAGTGATTCTGCAGCTTCTGCCCAGCTGATTTTTACCTTTTCTTCCGTTTCGGCATCTGAGTCATTTTCTTCAAGATTTGAGTAGGCTGAGGGTTTACTACAATGTTGATAATGTCCTCATCGGTTAGTTCTTGTTCAACAGGCTCATTCTCGTCGATTAAAAGCCACTCCTCTACCTCATCTTCAGGCAGGTTTTTCAAGGGAT